CATGTCTAGAGCCCAGACACTGTGCTGGGCTCTCCCTGGGCCCCAGCACGGTCTGCCCTCCTTCGGGCCCAGAACAGCAGCCTCCAGCACCAGGGACAAGACCGCCCCACCCAGCGGCTCAGAGCCAGCTGCAGGCCTACATCAGGCTGAGGCCCCAGCCAGATCCCAGGGCTCCCCGGGGCCCCGGGGGAGAGGGACGTCAGTGACAGTGTCACCCAGAAAGGCTCCTTACCAGGCACTGCTGCACTTTCCGGAGGACCAGAGTCCTCTTGTGGGGATCTAACACCAAGGAGTCCAACCGGATCTTCCCCAGGCCGATCAGAAGGGGCGCACATCGGGAGGCTGGCACGGCCGCCAGGTAGCGAGCCCTGGAGAGAGGTGGGGACCAAGACAGGAAGACATGCTGCTCTGGATTGCCCTGGACACCGGGTCTGCATGCCCAGGAGCTCATCACAGGGGCTCTGTAATGTGTGTTCCCCGGGGAGGTGGCTCCTTTGGGCAGGTTGCAAGCCTCCCATCCATCGTGCTTCTCTCCTATGGATAGGAACCAAACTTCCCATCATGCCCCTCTACTATTGGTGGGAACCAAACTTCCCATCATGCTCCTCCCCTAGGGATAGGAACCAAACTCCCCATCATGCCCCTCTCCTAGGAATGGGAACCAAACTTCCCATAATGCCCCTCTCCTAGGAATGGGAACCAAACTTCCCATAATACCCCTCTCCTAGGGATGGGAACCAAACTTCCCATCATGCTTCTCTCCTATTGGTGGGAACCAAACTTCCCATCATGCTCCTCTCCTAGGGATGGGAACCAAACTTCCCATCATGCCCCTCTCCTATTAGTGGGAACCAAACTCCCCATCATGCTCCTCTCCTATTGATGGGCACCAAACTTCCCATCATGCCCCTCTCCTAGGGATGGAAACCAAACTCCCCATCATGCTCCTCTTCTATGCTCTGGCAGCATTGATCTCAGAATAGTATCTCCATAAACATATGTTGACTGATGGACCAGTTCAGGAGAGATGAGGAGAAAATGAAAAGATAAAATAGAGAAAGGAAAGAGAATAAAATAGAAAGTGAGAAAGAAACATGAGAGAGTGAAGAGAGCAAGAGAAATGACTCCCAATCCCATCATCTCCAGTCAGAACTGCCCCTCAGCTCTTGACTGTGTGTCCTCAACAGGTGCGATATCACCCCCAGGGCGGAGAAACGGTCAGGGCAGGAAGGCAGGGAGGGAAACTGATGTTACTACAGTGATTTGTGACCCACCAAAGCTCAGCCCTCCTCAACACCATCATCCCTCACCATTTCTCTCATTGGGGAGAAACTAGAAGGCCCTCCTCAGGGAGGCAATAACGAAATAAAGGCTAAGAAAGACTGTTCTCCAGCCATGTGCCCCAACTCATCGCCACTTGACTCTTTCAAAACTAAATTTGACATGTTCTTCTTCCTCTGTGCCAGTGGTTCTCAACCTTCTGGCCCTTTAAATACAGTTCCTCATGTTGTGACCCAACCATAAAATTATTTTCGTTGCTACTTCATAACTGTAATGTTGCTACTGTTATGAATCGTAATGTAAATATCTGATGTGCAGGATGGTCTTAGGCGACCCCTGTGAAAGGGTCGTTCGACCGCCAAAGGGGTCGGACCCACAGGTTGAGAACCGCTGCTCTATGCCATCCCAGACTCCTTTTTCCCTTTATCCCAATGCCACTGCGCTCGCCTTAATATTACTCAAATCTTTCTCGCCTCTCCATTCCCGGTTCCGCCGTCTTATTTCTTTCTTCATTTATTCACTCATTCATTCAGCAGATACCTGCAGAGCACCTGCTGTGTGCCGGGCGCTGTGCTGGCAGCCAGCGACACCATGAACGGGACACGAGGGAGGCCCCTGGTCGCAGGAGGCTTCATTGTAAGGGGAGGCCCTGGCACCAGCGGACAGGACAGGTGACTCAGCAACTGAGATACGTGAGGAGGGAAGTGAATGGCTCTGGAATGGAGAGTGATGGTGGGCAAAGCCTTCGAAGGCAGTGCTAGCTGAGCTGAGACATGGGCCAGTGGAAGGAGACAGGCAGCCCAGGCCCGGTTACAGAAACCAGCTCCACGCCCTCCTCCCGCTGAGGCCCTGCTTTCTGCCACCGGGGCAGCGGCCATGGCCTTTCTGAACATAAATCTGAGGGCTGTGCCCAGAACACAGTGAACCCCTCAGGCCTCACATAGGCCCTCCCTGGCTGACCGTCCCTTACCTCCCAGGCCTTCTCTCTGACACCGACTCTGCAGATCACCCCCCGTGCTCCCCAGAGCTCTTCCCTGCACTTGCCCTGCTGGCGGACACCTGGTGCCCCTGCCCGAGTGTCCCTTAAACTCATTAGCCCACCTCATTCTTCAAGCTCCGACTTCCCAGTCTGAAGAAAATCTTCCCTCCTCTGCTCCCGTGTCCACTACCCATTCCCACCTGGCTTTCTCGAAGAATCACCCCTTCACTCTAAGACAGTGGTTCTCAACCTTCTGGCCCTTTAAATACAGTTCCTCATGTTGTGACCCAACCATAAAATTATTTTCGTTGCTACTTCATAACTGTAATGTTGCTACTGTTATGAATCGTAATGTAAATACCTGATGTGCAGGATGGTCTTAGGCGACCCCTGTGAAAGGGTCGTTTGACCGCCAAAGGGGTCGCGACCCACAGGTTGAGAACCGCTGCTCTAAGACCTTGTGCTTTGGGGTGGTGCCCATTCACTCTCAGCTCCAGTCAAGTCATCCATCCTTCCAAGCCCAGTGATTGGGTCCAGAAGGGCAAACTGGCCCAATGTAGGCCCATGAGAGTCAAACCCAAGTCTTATTAAGAAGAATGGGAAGAGGAAGTCTTTCTTTTCCCCAAACATGAAAACTAGGGAGATGTAACCTTGGGTCTGCCAGGGGCCACCACAGGGAAAGAATCTGTCTGACAGAGAAGCCAACAGAAGAAGTTGGGCTAAGAGACAGATGACATAATTTTAGCCCCTGGATCTAGCCATGCCTGAAATCCATCCCTGGACGTTCCAGCCGCCTAAATACAAAATTGCCTTTTATTGCCTAAGCCAATTTGAGTTCAGATTCTATCACTTTCAACTAAATATCAACTTGATATTATAACTGGTTTCATGCTTACCTGTTTTCCCCCTATGAGCTTGTAAGGTCTTTATGGGAAAAATTTATTCTTTCTAAGAGCTAGTACATAATAAGCATTCAATAAATATTTTTTGAATGAATGAAGACAGTAACAGCAAGAGGAGGAAGAGAGAAACCGTGTCCAGACCATATTTGGAAAGCAGGACTGCCCCCAGGCCCGAGTGCCCACACGCAAAGGCAAAGCCCCACAGCGCCCCCAGCCCTGCCTCTGGGAGGGTGGGCACAGCGGTGAGGCCAGCCCGGGCCGGATCTGCTCCTGGGCCTGGGCTGCTTTGGCTTTGGTTTTTAAATAAATAACAAGAAAAAGCAAGGGTCTGAAATGTCTGTGTGGGCCCAGAATTTACACCTGGGTCTCGAGGGCGTCACCGTCCAGGGCGCTCTCCACTCCGCCTCTGGCTCCTCACCAAACCCAGAGGGAGAGAAGCACTTTGGTGTGGGCGGGTCCCCTCAATCTTACTGCTGAGCCAGAGCGGGGGCCCACGTTCACTCACGGGAGCGCAGCCAAGAGGAAGGGCTGCGTAAGGGACCTGGAAACCTCCCAGGCTTTCCACGCCAAACAATTAACCTGAAAGATTTAAAAAGTTGTCGGCATTTAGTGAAGTGATAGGAAGAGCAAGCAAGACTGTGCTCTCTGTCCAAGCACTGCGCTGAGCCCTTACAGATGCGTCTTGTTTATAGAGCACCCTAGGGTGCAGGGACCCTCTGTGCCCGGTTTGTGCATGAGGAAACTGAGGCAGCAGCAAGATGGACACAAAAATTTAAGTGTAAGAATGCTCACCACAGATCTGTTTATAACGGCAAAACGGGAAGATGTCCCCGTCGTGTCCCTCAGTAAGGGACTGACTGGTTAGGTAAATTAGCCGTACAACGGAATACTACACAATGACCTGTTTCCGCAGGTAGATTTACATATATTAATATGCATGATGCCCAGGTCCCATTTTATACATACACAATGTGTTGTATATAAAGTTAAACAGAACAGTGTACACAGTATGAGCTCATTGGTGCTTTTTAAGTTACAGATAAATGTGTTTTATTCACACCCCAACCCTCAGAGTCAGGAGCCAGCGTTCCCTGCCGTTGCCCGTGGAGCAGGCTAGCTGCAGCCCTGCTGGCCCCAGGGTGGGTACCACCTGCTGAGCACTGGCACAGGAGGGGGGGCGCGTGCTGGGCGCTGGCACAGGGAGGGGGGCCGTGGGCTGGGTGCTGGCACAGGAGAGGGGCAGGTGCTGGGCGCTGGCA